AAAAAATAAATAGATAAAATAAAATAGTATAATTTTCCAGGTTATCTCATCCCAATATTCCAATATGCTAGCCTTTTCACCTCCTTCAGACCTCCAAAATTTGTAATTATTTCTTCCTTTTAGCCTCCTACTGTCTCCATTACTTCCCATATCCTGATTATATTCTACAGCACATTCCTTCAAATACAAGCCTGCCAGCCTCAATTCGCTGCTCTTAATCCTTTACTCTTACACTGAAAATCCCCAATCTGAATTAATTTAAATATCTATTTCATCCTATACACAGTATATTGAGCTTCTAAACAACATCATTAGCAGACTGCTATCTTTAAAAAATTAATTCCTAACTTAAACATACCTTAATTTTTTCAGAAATATTTCTTTAACAAGTCAGCTACCTCTCACTCTGTACTAGATCAAAGCCAAGCCCAGTATCCTCTCCTAACATCAAACTGATGGCTCTGCCAAGAGACAGGAAGCACCTCAATTCCCCAACTCATTCACAGCATTCACCAACCTATGCTCACACTCTCGAAATCACCAACTTGTGCCAGGACTCCATTCTCTTTCATTCCTGCAAATACCTCATTCTATTGGCAATTGTGTCCTTTCTCAATATTTTTAACTCTTACTCTAATGCCTTCCGCAAGACAGATTCGAAAGAAGTCATGGGACGGAATACTGCAGGCAAACAAAAATCATGTGAAAAAGCTTTTTACCTAGAAAACAATGAAACATTTTAAAGTTAAGAATTAATCACTAAAGCACCAATTAATTGTTTCATTTTGATTTTATCTTTTTGGCTATAACATTTATGATATGCAGTCAATAATTTTCCTACTGTATCAATTTATTCACAGCATTAATAAACTATATCCTCAACCTCTTGTTGCTTTAGCTGAAACCTGAATGAAAATATCTACATTTCCCTGCCGGCTTCTATTATGGTGGCTGTGGAGGCAAAAATGTGTCCTCCTTGTCTTCCGTTCCTAACTCACCAGCCATTATTCCACCTGTCTCCCTGAAGTCACCCAGCAATGCAGCTCAAGGAAGCAATCAGTATTTACCCCAGCTATCCTTTGTTGAACTGTATAAATTCCCAGGCCATCTTCCCCACATTTTTCCCAATTGGCACCTGACTTGCCATTCTGCCCTACAACACTACTTCATGTAAAAAAGAAATAAAAATGTTTAAGATTTATTATTTTATTAATTGAAAGACACTGTTACATAGAAAGACAGGAAGAGGAACAGAGAGAGATGGATCTTCCATCCACCTAATCCTTACACTATTACATTATGTAATAGTATAATATAATGTAAATGTATCCTATTACATTATATCCCATGTCACCTCTCAAGGACAAAATTTCAGTAACTAAAACATTATCATTTTTAGCCTATCCACTAAATCATTTCAATCAACAGATAGACATAAATAAACTCTGACAACTGAACTTTGTTCTCCTTTGTACTAATACAATAATGTCTCTGCTCTCTTTTGCCTATTTCCTGTCCTTTCCTATTTTCTTATATCTTTGCAATCTAGCACCCATCCCTACCACTCTACAAACACAGGCTTTGTAGCATCTCCAATGAACTCTCTACAGTCACATCATCACTCAACCCATAAGCAGCATCTGATCAATTCCTAGAAATACTTTCTACATCTTGCTTTTGGGAGCCTACTCAGTCTCACTCTCTTTCTGCTTTATTTACCTTTTTTTTTTATCTTTTTGATTTTCCTGACATAAAAATGTTACAGTGCCTCAGGGCTCTGTCCTCAGACCTTCTTAAACGACCTACAAACTGATGATCCTCAAATGTACAGCTTTAGCGCAATTCTCTCTCCAGAGTCCAGATTATCACACCAACTACCTCTCCTCTCACAGGTCTAATAAATATTTCAAGCTGGCTATGTCCAAACCCAAACCAAACCATATGAGTCACCCTCCACAACTCCCCAAACCGCTCCTCTCATACCCTTCCCTAGTTACATGGATACCCGATTATTTCCAAAATCATGAAGGAACCCTCTCTCCTATCTTCTACATATTTTGTCTAATCCTTCAGCAAATGTTGGTAGCATGATGTCCTCTGTGGCCCAAGACACCACTATCCCTCAGTAAGATTACGGTACAGGCCTCCTACAGCAAACACTTCTTTGCCTTGTCCTGTCCATCCTCCAGATTTCAGCACAGCTAGAATGGACAGCTCCAATCACACTGCTAGAATTCCAATTCCAAGCACACTTTTTTGGAGTCACTTAGCTCTTCTGTCCCACAATCTCAAACTGATTCACTACCACAAACTCAAAATGCAAAGGAGGACATACTGTCTTCAAGAGCAACCTTAAATCAGCTGAAGCAGGAACCAGAAACGCCAACTGGAGCCATGGATCCAGCCCTCAGATTCCTACCTCTGAAGAGGTGAAGTCGTGGGGAAAAGAGTACAATTCTCCTAACTGCACTCCTGTTTATAAATCTTGTTCTTCTACAGTTTATTCTCTAAACAAGAGACACAACATATTATGTCCCTAGCTAAGCTACTTCAACGGCTCCTCACTGCTTTCTGGGATGTACACTCCCTGTTTTCCTTAGAGCATGTCTATCCTTAGGAACAGCACATATCTCACTCTACTATAAAAGTCTACTACCTTCTCAGTGCTACCCTACGATCTGAATGCCAGGGAATATCCTCACTGCAAAGTACAGTGTAAGAGCAGAACTAAGACATTTTCATCTCTGCAGTGAATAAAGGCCTTTGGAGGGAAGGATGTGAAACAATTCTAAGAAATCACCTCCTGGCAGCAATACAGAATACCCAGAATCCCAGCCAGCCTCAGAAATGACACTTCATCAACAATTTATAATAGATATCTTCACTTCGCTGACACTGAAAAAAAGACTGAATCTCTCAGGATCTCAGTTAAAATTCAAATAAATAACATTTATGGTTTGATAAGCTATACAATCGTAATGTGTTTACCATCACATCCTTATGACCAAGTTCCAAAACACATATCTAGATCAAAATCACTAAGTTGCTGATGTCTAACAGATATGTAACATTACCACGAGCTTTATAGTACAGAATATGCTAATGAAACCACCAGTTCCAAATGAACAAGTATAATGTCATTGTTATTCACTACTTCGTTATCTAGCTCAATAATTACTACTAACAGTTCACATTCACTGAGCAGTTACTGTGTTAAAACCAATATGTTAAACCTTAGTAGACAATCACTTTATCTAACAATCTAAAAGGCACTATAATTACATCTTCTAGAACAGGAAACAGAAGCACAGGAAGGATACTACAAAACCACACAGCTAGGAAGTGACACAGCCAAGCCTCGATGCTAGGCAACGTGATCTCACGCTCCTCCCCACTTTCTCAATAATCCTGCTGCACCGCCTCTGAGCATACACACTGAACGAAAAGCCCTCCCAGGGCTACACTCCGCCAGCCCATGCTGCAGCCTCTTCTAGAACACAGCCTAACTTGAAAACCAATGTCCCTATATCCCTCCTCCATCTACTTTTGGCTTAACTTATTTCCCTCTTCAAAGCGCTTCCCCTTACTCCAGGAGGCTTCCAAGTGTTTAGTTCTTGGCTGTAACATACAAAAGAAAAAGCACGCTTCCATAGTGGAGTCCTGGGTTTCCTCCTACCGTTGAAGAGACACCTCCTAGTTTAATTGTTTCCACTGTGGTCCCCGAATCTTCAACAGCTGTCTTCTTTTCCGGAGGCATGGATGTGCCCGGTTCCCCAGCTGCTCTTTTATTTCCAATTCCTGACATCTTGGCAAAAGATGACGGTGATTTTCCTAGAGGAGATAAAAGCAGAAGCTGAGGGAAAATATGCAACAATGGCAAGAATAAAGACAGGCCATCGATGACGTAAAACCAGCAATGATTCTGACCAATCCTTTAACCACAAATCAACACCATTCTCTTAAATTGTGAAGGGTCAGGGCTAAATTTACAGACTGTTTATTTCCAAATAAGATGCTAATGTGAAACAAGACAACAGGCAAAAGAAGAAGATGCTGGATATAAATTTCAGGAACTCTCCAAGGTGCAGAAATCATAAAAGTATGACACAATTAAGACTAAAGTTAATTCTGTGTAAGAATCAGAGTTGAAAAGAGAACGAAAGGTGTCCACTCTACCACTATCCTGGGGGCAGATGATCATCTCTGCGACTATGTCCCAAAACTACACAATTTCTATTGTTTCTATATGAAATGCATGATACAACACAAAAGGCCAGATACATAAAACAAATACTCGGGGCAATCAGCTCTCCCTTTAATGCCTGAAGTTTCTCTCCACTTCCAAACATGCAACCTTGAGGGAAGTCGGGCCTGGCCGCAAATCCCGGTTGAGGAAACAGTGACCCGGCCCAGGGCGTCCTTTTCCTCACCTGGACGGCGCGGGCGAACCTCTTCTCCGTCGGCCCTACCTGACTGGCAGAGGTCCCGGGCTCCAGGGAGGCGGAATGGATGTTAACGCGCCGCGGCCCCTGGAGGAGGCCAAGCTGCCATCCCCGAGACTCTTCCGCTACCGATTCAGGCTCCAGAAGACGGGTCCCGGCGGCAGCAACCACACTCGGACCTGGCCTGCACGGAGTGGACAGGAGGAGAGCAACAGCTAGGAACCCCCCCAGCCTACACGCAGCGAACCGCAGGCACCGGGGAGGGGACCCCACGGCTGAAGAGGAGGCAGAACCCCGGGAGCCTGCAAGGTCCCCACGCTTCCCTAAGCCGTGATCTAACCTGGCTGCCTGCACCTCGCCCCGCCCGGCAGCACCACCGGCCCGCGCAGCATTCCCAGCCCTCACCTCTGAACCGGGGCGCAGACGGCACTAAAGCTTCCGGGAGGCGGGGCCGGGGAGAGGAAAAAGGGAAAGGAAAGAGGAAGTTGCTTCAAACCTGCCCAGTAGACTGTGAGGCGCAGGAGGGCGGAAGTGACGCAAGCAAAGGCGCCGCGACTCTGAGGCAAGGTTGCCTCTCTAGCAACCCTTAGGCGGGTCGGCGCGCCGCTCTCATAGCCCTCCGCAGGTGGCGGGAGGAACGTCGGACACGGAGAAGGCGGTGTTCGGGGATTTGGGCTTTGCTGCTGCCGCTGCCGCTGCCATCTGGGTTCGCTGCTGCGATAAAATTCCTCACTGAGACTGCCGTTTGCCTGAAGGATCCGTCATTGTCCAGGAGGAGACAGACCCGACTTAGATACCTCGAGAAACGCTACCCAAAGCCTCTTAATGATGAAATGAGGGCTTTCATACATTTCAGGTTTTGTAGGTTTGTATCACAGCTCTGTGTACACGTTGGAATCCCTGGTACCGTGGGGGGAGGGGCCCTGAAGATGGAGCCTGGACAGAACGTGTTGCTGTCTCCCTCCCCCTCGCAACTGCTAAGATCCCAGCGCAGGACTCCTGTGCTGTATGGGACCAGAACTTGGCCAGGGGAAAGGAAAAATGCAAATCCGTTACTCGTCTCTGCCCTCCTTACCCAAGCCTATTTTAAGCTCATTAAGAACGCGTTTATTTTAGTTAACCCTTTAATTCCCGAATTTTCAAGTCCACAAATACTTCAATGAAATTGGTGGATTAAAAATATGGCAAAAATCATAATCTAGAGCATGAAAATATACTATCTTACAAACATGTCAGTTATGTTTATAATCTTGTTCACTTGGACATCTGGTAAAAGTGCAGTAAAGTATGTCATTTTCATAATGAATTTAAGAATATTTTCAAATGCTCTCGTTGCTCCTCTATTTTTTCAGAAGAACAGAACTAGAAAAACATATTTATTTCTAAAGTTTCCATAAGTGGTACTTATTGTTCAGTTTATATAGGCTCTCTGTATGGGACGGTGGAACATAATGAATTTTTATGAGAAACCGTTATTTGCCGTTAAAATAAACAATGCCTTTGTTTAATCAGGAGATAAGCAACCTCCCCACACTAACCAGAAGCCCACATGGGTATGCATCCCTCTCAACGAAGCAATCAGTATTAAAAGTTTAAATATTTTTAAATCTAATAAGGCTTTCCTCATTACAAAACCGGCTGGGGACCCACTTCCTAAAAAGTATTATATGACACCATGACACTCATTCTTTGATCTCCCTCCTTTGCTTCTCTACTCTTGGCAAGCCCACAAAACTAGTGAGTGACAAGCAATAATTCTAGACCAGAGTTTGTAAACTAGAAATTCACAAACTATATCAGCCACAGATATACCTTCTTTATCCTGACCTGTTTTTGTTTCCCTGTAAAAAACAAAAACTCAGTTGCCAGATTTAAAATACAGATATTTAAAATAAAATCCAGATCAATAACTTCTCTTGAAAGTGTTAAAATCTAGCAAGACCCGAGTTATACTCCCTTTATTATTATTACTATTATTATCATTTGAAGGAAAGTGTTGCAGAGAGAAGGAGAGACAGAGATCTTCAATTTGCTGGTTCTTTCTCTAAATGGCTACAAGGACTAGTGTTGAACCAGTCTGAAGCCAGGATCCAGGACCTTCCCCTGAGTTTCCCATGTGGGTACAGTGCCCAATGCCTTGGGAAAGCTTTGCAAGGTGCATCAGCAGGGAGGTTGACCAAAAATGGGACAGTCAGGACTCAAACTGGCACCCATATGGAATTCTGGCACCACAGGTGACACTTAACCCACCATGCCCCAGCACTGGTCCAACACCAAAGTTCTCTTCTTGTATGGTGACATTATCTATAGTAAAGAGCTTCCCCTTTATTAACTTCATCCCTGGGTATCAGAATCATCACTATTCCTTGTCTTTTCCTTGGTACTAATTGAGTTTAATTACCCTCGCCAGCATGATGTGCACTTGACAAGCTCATCATGGACATTGGGTAGACATTGGTTTCATTACCTACACAGTATCCATTACTTCTCCCTTACATTCTGAAAAGAATAGAATCAGAATTTCATTCTTGTATCTGTTTATGCCCTAGATTCCATATGTCTTGGGAGAAGTTGGTTTCATCTCTGTGACGAAAAATTATCTTAATGTGAATGGTAAGCGCCACCCCTGCAAGCTAAACCTCAACCATGGGCAGTGTAATCAGGGTGAATCTCTTAAAATACTTGAACTGCACAATTTTCTTTCCTTGACAGAGTTTTTGTGAGAGGCTTGAAACATTTAGAGCCTTCTTGCTCCCAACTTTGAACGTAAAGGTCAACACACAAAATCAGGCAGAACCCAGAGGAAGGTTAGGAAGTAGAGTCAGATGCACTGAATTAAATGGCCCCTAACTTCACCCCACATTTCAGATATTAAATAAGATAATGAGAAAATACCAGACCTCTTAGCAGTTTCCAACTCTCACCATGTGGGAAACTGTATCTTCCAGCTATTGGTAGAATCTGTCTTTTCGGAAGTTCTAAGCAGTTGCCTGACACCTTCAGAGGGGGTCTAGAGAAGGAGAGCTGGGCAGATGGCGAGAAAGATGGTAAGGAATTGGCAGAGCAGGCTGCCAGTCTGGAGACCCAGAGAAGACTTGCAGCTTAAGGCCAGAGCAATCTGCTCTTAGAATTCCTTCATACTGGGAGGGGTGGGGAAATTTTTTTTTTTTTTTTGCATTAAGCTCTTTGACTATTGAGTGAAGCCCTACCTACATTATGGGGAGTAATTAATTTTGGTCCAAAAATTTTATTGTTTAACTCACCCAATAAATGCCTTCACAGAAATGTCCAGAATAATATTTGATCAAATGTCTGAGCACCATGACCCAGCCAAGTAGACACAAAAGTATTCCTCGGAGTAGGTAGTCATATTCCCCAGTTACAAATGAGGTCGCTCTTTACCAAAAGTGCCAGTCATGTGACATCGTCACAGCGGCCTACCCTGACTCAAGCAGGTAACAATGACCTCACTCCAGAAAATTGGAAACATGGGCTAGATGGAGGGGAGAGTGACAAAGAACCATATACTCACCATCTTAATTAATAAGAAGAAAAATGTATAGCCCTAGAGAAATAAAATGTCACCTGATTCAGAAATAAAACAATGTTAGCAATGCTAAAGAATACCTGATTGAACTTTCTATCTCATTGCTTTTCCAATAATATAACTAAATAGAGTAAAATAATTAATTTTTTTTTCAAAATGAGGAAATAGATTTTTGATGTTACTTTGTCAAAGAATATTGGATCCAGCCTTCACTAACTGCACGATTCTGCCACAAGGTGGCAGCAGGCAACATGCCTCGTTTGCTCTATTGCAGAAACTGCGGGGCAGTCAGCTGACCCATCAATCATGTTTAATTCTTAGATCTCTGGGCAGCTAAAACTTAATGCTTTTATTAAGGACAAAATTAAAATATTTTGGATTTGTGGTTTGTCATGTTTTTCTATGTTCTCTGCTGTAACATTACTGTTAGAATCCTATATACTCAAATAACATATGCAATTCAAAGTGGGTTATTTGCATACAAAGTATAATTCTGGAAGTCCCTTGTTTAACCATGTTTTAAGACAATTTGTGTTTACCTAGTGTGACATCATTTCTTGTACAGAAACATACAGATTCTGTAGCGCCTACTCAAGGTTTGGTGAATCAGAAAATGCAGATTCTCACTTGAGCCATCATGCTTCCTGTTCTTGTGGCACATACAGTAACTAGGGAAGGAGTGCAGGTGCAACCAGCAAGACAGAGTGGACCGACTGACTGCTGCGGCCAGACTGGACAGCAGACGCTTGTCGTGAAAGCTCCCGTGGAAATGCTCCTGCCAGCTCCTCACCAACCTGCACGGGGTGGCGATGGCAGCTCAGGCAGTTTGCAGCTTGACAGCTTTGGCCAGCACAGATGACAGGGTGGCCTGACGTGCATGACAAACACCTTCTGTGGAGCATCCAAACTCCCTTTCTGTGCACAACTCAGACCTCCCTGTCTATCTGCCAGGTGAGTCCAGCTCCCAGGGCCCAGCAGGCCCCTGCCTTTTCCCAGTAGGAGAAACTGCAAGTTTCACAGTATTGCCCACTTGGAATCCCTACTAGCTGGAAATAACCAATGTAGCTTCAGGATGCAGCCTCCCACCCCACTCCCACCCCTGCCTCTTTCCCTGTTACCATTAGGTCATTATAATGCCGTCATAATAAAATTGTCATTGGCATGACATGTCCACTTCAATCATGTTCCTAATGCCATGACATTTTTTAAAAGATTTATTTATTTTTATTAGAAAGTCAGATATACAGAGAGAAGGAGAGACAGAGAGAAAGATCTTTCATCCTATGATTCACTCCCCAAGCAGCCGCAACAGCCAGAGCTATGCCAAGCCAAAGCCAGGAGCCTTTTTTGGGTCTCCCACATGGGTGCAGGATCCCAAGGCTTAGAGCCATCCTCACCTGTTTTCCCAGACCACAGCAGGGAGCTGGATAAGAAACAGGGCAGCCAGGATTAGAACCGGCACCCATATGGGATCCAGGCGCATGCAAAGCGAGGACTTTAGCCACTAGGCTACCACGCCAGACCCAACACTCCCAACATTTTATTAATACAGCAAGGAAATGGGAAGTACTCAAGACCCACCTCAAATTCTCTTTTGAATGTTCAGTCGGGCTACTTCCTGACATCAGCCCCCACTGCCTCTGTAGGGTATAAAGCAAAGGCTTAATATTGTTAATGATGGGGAGGGAGGTCCTTTGTTGGAGATTTTTCTTGGTAAGGGGCTTTATTTACTTTGCTAAAGACTGTTTCATTATCAGATGCTATTCCTTGGAGAGGGTATTTTTTTTTTTTTTTGGCATTTTGGCCCTTTTTTTATGCACATCTTGGTTTTTAACCTTGCACTTGTCATACTCCAAGTAAGTCCTGCTCTCCTTGATATCTTTATGCTCCCGTTTTGGTACTCCTGCTCGCGTGATTAAGCCTTGCTAGGAGCACCTGCCCACAGCACTCTCCACACAGGTTTAAGGAACACTGCTTTAGTTAAGGATGGTGAGCCTCCTGACAGTGCTCTCCTTGTATTTTCAGCTACCCTTGTCTCGCCACTCTGCATCACTTCCACACCTCTCTCCCTTCACCTGCACCTCCTTCTCCTACATACACACACACAGGAGCCAGGCCTGGGAAATACACTGAGCACCCAAACTGGGTTTAATCTTAGAGGCACTTATAAATCTGAATAAAGAATTTAGGTATTCATGGCCTTTAGGAGCAAGGGAACAGCAGATAAAGCCTAGACAGACCAAGTGCTATGACAACATGGGCCACAGACACAAAGGCCGCCACGCAGCGAGGGAACAAACTCCCCAATGAAGAGAACTGTCTCTATTGCCTACCAGAATATGGTAGACACCTGAGTTCTTCCCAGTGTGTCAGCTCCAACACTGAACGGAAAACCAGGAAGAAGTAGCAGCAAATGGGCAAGGAGCATCCTGAGAAGATCCGGCCAGAGCTGCAGGGTGTCTGCAATGGTGTTCCGGAGCTGCTGAGCAAATATTTTATTCCCAGAGCTACACCACCAGAATAAGGCATTTTGCCTGAAAATGAAAGATTGTCTTAGGTATCTGTCTGATGTGGCATCTGGAGACAATAAGGGAACCACAGTATTGAATTCCCAGCCAGCTTCCCAGGAAGCATTTTTAAATTGGTAAGAAACAAATAGCCCCACACACCCAATCCAATTTGACATGACACACACTTCTGTCTTACCATGACATTATAAGATTCTCAACTCTTTTGGAAAGGCCTCCATCCTGGGGAAAAAAAAAAAAAAACAGTATGTGATGAAGCAGTTGTCGCATTGGATACGCTAATCAAGAACGGTCTTACAGAGACAGTACCCCATCCTGCAGGTTGCTTAGGCGCAGTCTCATTCCATGGGCAGTAGAACACCAGGGAGATGAGGGAGATACTGCAGAAAGGTCCCTCATACTCTGACCTGTTCATGTCACTCTCTAACCACCACATATATCCCTTGATGCTACTTAAAAAAAAAATAGTGTAGTGATGATTTTTTTTTTTTTGCTAACCTCAGCCTAGCAAAAATGGTCTATGTGATAGACAGTATTTGTATCTAACTTTCAGACCAGCCACATGACTGATTTTGATTAACATTGGCAGGATTACTGTATGCTTAATTTAGAGAAAAACAAAACAAAATACCACCACTGTAGTTACAGGGTTTTGCAATTAGCAGAACTCTCTCAGTGGTAGAAACACAAAGGAATTATGTATAACTTTGGAAAGTTTAGTCTAATATCAAAATAATCTCTGCAATACAACTCCTTTATAAAATTGTATATAAAGCTATAAAGGTTATATTGTGATATTGGAACTCGGAGTAAGATGTCTACTATTTAACTTTAAAACTCAATAATAACTCACATTCTGCCAGTTCAGGGTTTAGGACAGTTGACAGCTTTGGGCTGTTCCCGCTGAAAGTTCATGACCATGAATGTCTACAGTGTCATCCTCTGAGGAAACTCCAAGCCCAAGGTTAAAATGCTCTGTGACCAGTAACTGGGTTACAACAGTACAGACATTACAGACATGTCCAGTGCTCATAAAATGTTGACTAAACCTCTTTTACAATAGCAATAAGTTATCGATCCTCCACTTGCAGCAATAGGAGACTGTCTTCTTTGAAGCTACTTAGTTAAAACAAACAAGAAAGTCATGTATCTGAGAATGGCCTTATTTGTTTCCTGGATCAAACTGGGAAGAATAATCTTTGTTCTGTAGAGACTGTCTTTCATCCGAAGAGTACTCAGTCCTGGTTTTCATTACCTTGGGATTCTAAATGTTGAAATTAAATATCCTTTCCCTCTGTCTTTTTGACGAAAGGATTTCTCTTCCTTCTTTGCATTTCTGTCCTTTTGCTTTCCTAATAATCTTTTCTTTCTGTAGTATGTTTGTGTGTGTGTATGTTCACTTTTAAACACTATGTGGAATGTTGAGGAGCACCTCGATGTGCAAGGCTCACTTCAAAGAGCTTTTGGTACCATAGCTCTGTCTTGCTACAGGTCTTGGCATATCAAGATAAAAATCAAAATATTTTGAAACAGCATGACTTCTCTCTGTATCGCAGCCAGCCCTGATAATGTTAATGCTTGTCCCCAGATCTCCCAGATGTGCTCATCCAGTTCAGTAATCAGACGTGCTCAAGCAGCTCCCCATGGTGCAGGAACAGAGTCCAGATGAGCCAGGCCATGCGGTCTCAGGCGCCACTCTTCTGGCATTTAACATTCACATAGCTGTAGAATTCAACTATTGGCTCATCTGGTTAGATGTGAAAAGAAAAGATAGGGGCTGGCACAGTTTATATGACTAATTCTCTGACTTCAATGCTGGTATCCTACATGGATTCCAGTTCGAGTCCTGGCTTATTTACTTCTGAGCCAGCTTTCTGCTAATGTCCTGGAAAAGCAGTAAAGGATGTCCCAAGGCCTTGAGAACCTGCAGTCATGTGAAAAACCTGGAAGATGACCCTGGTTACCAGTGCTGGATGGGCCCTGTCTGGCCATTGGAGCCATTTGAGGAGTGAACCAACAGATGCAAGATCTCTCTCTGTCTCTTTGTCTGTCTCTGTGTAACTCAGTAACATAATCTTAAAGGAAACTTCATGTACTTGAGACCATCCAGGCCTGCTGAGGTCTTGGCCATACCTTCAGGTGGGTGGCACCAGCATTGTCCACCCATTTCCTAACTGATTAAGAGACCACCAATGGGGAACATCTTACCTGTGGTTCCCTGCCCAACAAGGAGGGGTCAGGGAATGCTTAAAATCCCAAGACCCTTTGGTGTCTCTCTCTCCCTCACCTTTCAAGGGGCACCCACCTCCTGGCTTTCTCTCTGGAGGTGCTTTCCCCTTCCCTCTTCCTTCTCTGCTCACCTGGTCCATTAACAAACTTTTCTGTCTGCAACAGATTCCCAGCTTTTTATTTCTATACTAGGCTGAGGAAAGAACCCACCGGGCATTTCTGGTAACAGTATTGATTAAAAAAAAAAAAAGAAGAAGAAAAGAAAAAAATCCCCCTTTCCAGTGGAATAAAAGTATGCAGTTAACAGTTGGCTCTTGAAAATGCAGTAGTGGATGTGGAATCTGTGCATCTGATGGCTTTACCCTGTACCAGCATTCTGCCCAATGTTCACTCCTGTGATGGTTATATTGCCCAGAAATCACACATAGTTACAAAAACAGTCTAGCAAAAGAAGGAGGAGGAGGACATGAAGAAGAATAAGAGGAGGGTAGCATAAAAATTCAAAATAAAACATTTTGTCAGTTGGGGAAAAAGTTTCATGTTTAATAATGAAATATTCTCTTTTTAAATTTACTTGGTCTGTACCTCCATATGTTTCTTTTAAAATGTATTTTATTTATTTATTTGAAAGGCAGAGAGGGGCGGGGAACACAGAACTTCCATGTTAATGTACTCCCCAAATCGCTCAGTTAGAGCTGGGTTGAGGTTGGGCCAACATCAGCAGCCCAGAATGCCACCCAGGTCTCCTTTATGTGAGGCAGGTGCCCAAGAACTGGAGCCATTTTCTGCTCTTTTCCCAAGTACATTAGCAAGGAGTTGAATCAGAAGCAAAACAGCTGGGACTTGAATCAGCATTCCAATAAAAACATGCTGGCATTCCAAGCAGTGAGACAATTAGCCCCGCAGCCTTGTTTATACTGAACGTGTATGCTTTACCTTGTATAGCTGTGCTGGCATAAAGCATCTAGACTAAATTTATGTTTATATATATTTTTAACTAGCACTGTAATAAAAATAATTCAAGTAAGCACTAGGTGTTTAATGGGAATTTTTTTTTCTTGAAAATGGGAGTTTGTGCATTACTTAAGTTTATAATAAGCCATTACTTGATTTTACAAGTCTGTTTCAAAAATTTGTAAAAATAGAATTTAAATGTAAGTCTGTTTTGGTGTAAAACATTTTGAAATCCCTGTATAGTCTTTTCATAAAATGTGTTTTTCAAGAACGTTCTGGAGAGTCACTATATATACTTTCTTAGATGGCTCATGATTACTTCTTAAGAAGAGTATATGCAATATCTTTTAATTATTCTAGATCCATAGGAAGAATGAATATTATAATAGATTC